ACTCCGTTTCAAGGGACCGCAACCTCCCCCTCTCCTTCCCTCTTCCCCCCGCGCCTGCCCCGCCCACTCCCCACTCCCCCCCCACCACCCCAGTATTCACAACCGCTGGCTCCGCAGCCGCTTCGACTCCGCCCTGTCCGCCCTGCTGATCGACACCACCGACCCCACCCACAAGCGCAACATGGAGTACCTGTTCCTAGGGGAGCACCCCGCTCTGCCTGGGCTGCTGGACGTGGCAGTGGAGGAGGGGGTGCCGGAGGGGGACCAGCTGGCAGCGCAGGTCGGGGGACCGGGGGGGCACATGGAGGCGGTGGGGGGTGACGGGGTTGGGGAGTTGCGGGGTTGCGGGGTTGGGGGTTGGGGGGTTGCGGGGTTGGGGGGTGGGGGGTTGCGGGAAGAAGTAGTAGAAGGGGATGGAGCCCCTGCTGCCCCTCCGCCGTGTGCTGCTGCGGCTGCGGCTGCCCGGTGCTTGGACATGTAAGAACGTGTACACACATACACACACATGGAGCCCACTGTAACCACCACACACACACATACACAGGTACATAGATATGAAGACATGTTTACTCGAGCGATTCGGTCTTACCCCGGGCTGTACACCATACTTATCTGTACTGCTGCTTGTCAATATTACGTCATCTGCTTTATCAACAGCAGGACAGCCGCTTTCGGGAACACAGGTTCGATGGACATGCAGAAGGAAAGTAACCCATCAGGGCTTACAGAGGTGTCAGTCCAGGAATGTGTACTACACTATTGTACGATGTCTTCTTGGGGCCCATTAACAAAATTTTAGAAAAACCAAAGCTCATGGAATTGTAAGAATTTATCCCGTTGTTAACAAAAATGTTGAAGAAGGTGTTGTGCTGTTTCCGTGCACAGGGTCTGGACGGCGCTGTGGTGGTGGCCAGCACCGTTTTCCTCGCGGACAGATTCAGGCTGGCGGCAGCATTGGACCCGGGAGCACCGCAACCGCCACAACCGCAACCGTCAACTTCCGCCTCAACCACCGCCACTGCTACAGCCTCCGCCTCAGCAGTGCGGTCTGGCGGGTGTGGCGGCTCCGAGGGCAACCGAGCCCGGGGGAGAGTGATGGTGGTACGGACCTACCTGGGACGTACGGCACATGTGGGTCGATAGCGTTGCGGTGTGGCAGGAGGCCGGGGGTGTAGGGGGGAAGTGTGTGAACCTTGGAGTTTGACACGGCGTGGAAACGGACCGCGTTGTTGCCTAAGTGTACGTATGTATGTATGTATGTATGCATGTATGTATGCATATATGCATGTAACAGGTGCCGTTGGTGGACGGTGGGCTGTGTGTGGCTGCAGACATGTAGCGTCACACCCCGGGTTTGGGGAAGGATATGAACTTCCCTGAACACCCCTCAATGGACAAACACACACACACACACAAGCACACACAGACACACACACACACACACACACACACACAAACACACACACACACACACAAACACACACAAACACACACAAACACACACAAACACACACAAACACACACACAAACACACACACAAACACACACACAAACACACACAAGCACACCCCACAAAAAACACTTCCCTGGGGGCCACACACACTCCCAAGCCCAACCCGGCCCCCCCTTCAGGACCTGTCCGTCCACGTCTCTGCCGGGCTGCCGTCCAAGCTGTACGGCAAGGACGGCAAGCTGTCTCCCTCCTCCCTGTTAGAGGGGGGTTCCCGGGTTTTGCCCTCCTCTTGGCCCGACACTGACGCCGTGTACCGTGCACGGCCCGGCGACATGCGTCCGAAGTTGTGGTGAGGAAACCGCGGGCTGGGGAACCCCTGTGTATTGGGGTGGCGTGTGGTGGAGGTGGAGGTGGGGGGTTTGGGGGGAGGTTCTGGAACCGGGGTCCTCTGGAAAGGGGGAAGCACGGGGGGCCCCCTGCCGCGGCATCTCCCTCTGGCGCCCTCGCGCGGGGAGGGGGCGGGCGGGGAAAGGGCGGGCGGGGAAAGGGCGGGCGATAGCGAGCCTGCATGTGGGCTGGACAACACCAGCCAACCAGCCAACGGTTTCCACCTCCCCTGGACCTCTCCCGTTCCAACAACCGGCCCGCGCCAGGTACGTCTTCAACAATGTACTGGTACTGCCGGAGTACATTGTGGACTTCACGTACGATGTACTGCCGACGAGCCCTCTGGCGGCGCCGTCGCCGTCGTGCAGCACCTCCACCTCCGCTTCGGCCGCTGGCTCATCGCCCCTTATGGCGCTCGACCTCCAGATGTGCGCCGGAGTGGGATCCGCTGGTGGCGGTGGCGGTGGCGGTGTCATGAGTGGTTTTCTCGCTCAGAGCGCCGCCACCCACCAGGCCATTATGGACTCCCTGGACGCGGACATCCGGTAAGATGGGGGCATCAGGTGATGTATGTGTGTATGTATGTATGTATGTGTGTGTGTGTGTGGTTGGGGGCTTAGGGAAGGAGAGGGAGAGAGAGGGTAAAAAGGGAGAGGGGAGTGAAGTGAGTCGAAGCCGAGGGTTTCGCAGCGCACGCGTCTGAGGAGGTGGAGGTGGAGGAGGTGGAGGTGGAGGAGGAGGAGGGGATCACCGCATTGGCCAGCTGATCAACACGTCACCAGTAGCACTACATCCGTCCCTTCACCCCACCTTCACTGCCCGCGAGGGGCCTCACAACGCGTCTCTCTCTCTCTCTCTCTCTCTCTCTCTCTCTCTCTCTCTCTCTCTCTCTCTCTCTCTCGGGAACCAAAGGGGAAGAAGAAGATATATAGAATATATATAGCCCCCTCTCGCCCACCGACCCTCTTGGCCAACTCGACTAGAAAACACTTCCTGCCGGCCCCGCCCCTGCCCGTTCCCCCCACTCCCCCCAGGCCGCTGGCTCGCCCCATGCTTGGCTGGCTGGCTCTGCAGGCGGACCCCTCCCTGCTTCGATGTGGTCTCGCTGCGGAGGAGGAGGAGGCGCAGCAGCTGGTGGCCGCCCCGCCCGCCATGCAGCCCGCCAACAAGATCTACCGCCTCACGGACGAGGCCATCAGCAAGTGAGGCTGTTCTGGGTCTTACGGTTTTTCAGTCGCAGGTTCACCGCGGTCCTTATTCATGTTTCGGCACGTTGGAGAGATGTATGTTGTTGGCAGCTTTTGGGTTTTGCGTTTCGTCTTATGTGTAAAGGCACTGAAGGGTTTAAATTTGCAGTCGGCCGTCGTTTTTGGGGTGTCTCAGAGGGATCCCATTCTTTCCATGGACGCCCCATTCCCCCATCCCCCCGTTTTCTTTCCCTCCCCCGCGCTAAGAGGGCCGTGCTGAGGCGCCCCTTCTTCCGGCCCTCCCCTCCTCCTCAGAAGCAGCAGTCTTTCCTTGGCATCAGCTTCACTCGCTCGTGGTTTGTCTTCCCTCCCCTCCCCTCCCCTTTCCCCCCCAGGGCTGTTGGCGGCATTCCGCTTTCCAGCGTTGTCCGCCTGGACGTGCACAACTCCGGACTCCGCAAGATGGAATCTCTGGCGGGTTTGCGTCACCTTCAGGTGCTGGTGCTGTGTTACAACGAGCTGTCCCGGCTGGAGGGGCTGGAGGGGCTGGCGCAGCTCAAGACGTTGGACCTGGGCCACAACAGCATTCGGAAGGTGGATCCGGTGGTGGTGGTGTGATGGATGTTGGGTGATGGGGTCGAGGTGTGGTGGTGTGGTGTGGTGGTGGGGAGCTTTGCGGTCCATTTGCAGGGACAGGGTAAGGGGGAGAGCGGAGAGGGAAGGGGGTTTTCTTTTGGGCTGATCGAAGAGCTTAGGGCGGGTGGGTGGATGTGCGTGTGTGTGCTAATGATCTGATCCGCGTGTATGTGTGTATGTATGTATGTATGTGTGTGTGTGCGCTGATGATGTTTCCAGACGGTTGTAGTGATGGCGACCAGATCCCGGTGCTGCCCGTGTCATCATCAAGCTGATGACAGTGTCCAGCTTTCCCCTCCCCCCTCCTTTCCCTTCCCAGTTTCCCCCTACAAACCCCCCTCCCCCTCCTCCCCCTCCTCCCCCCGCAACAGGTGGAGGCCGCCCTCAAGGGGCTGTACAACCTCACCCACCTGGACCTGTCCAGTAACCAAGTGATGAAATTGGAGGCGAGAGCGGAGAGGGGGAGGGGGAGGGGGAGCGGGAGGAGGGGAAGTGGGAGGAGGGGAAAGTAGAGGGGGTGAAAGGAGAGAGGGAGAGGAAGGGAGGCGAAGGGGAGGGAGGAACAGGTTGAGGAATTCCGTGGGCCTTGGGACGGACCTCGGGCGGACGGGACCTTGTGGCTTCGCGGCTCCTTGCGAATGGGGACTTTGTGGTTCGTGCGTGTATGTATGTATATATGTATGTGTGTGTACGGATGGGAAGACTGGATTCCAATAGGGACAAAACCCTCGCACGCATCATACCATCACGCACAAAACCCTTCCCCTGCGCACGATCACATGTTACGCTTACGTCAGAACACGGCCTATTTTGTACGACCGTTGAGATTACGTTTCCGCTGCATGACGTTGTACGGCAGGAGCTGTACAACATGAAGAAGTACAGTCCCCAGCTGGTGGTACTGGACCTCCGTGACAACCCTATCTGCAACGACAAGGCCTATCGGTCCACCACCTTGCGCAAGTTGAAGCGCCTGGAAAGGTGATGATCATTAATTACAAGTAACTCAGTAAACCGGTTGTACACAGGGGTTTGAGCCGGAGGGCGCTGCGGCGGGAGGGGTTGAATCGTTGCGTCGTCACTTCGCCACCGCCGCATCGGATAATTTCTCCCCCTCCACACACAC